AGCGGAGAGTCGGGGGACAGACCCGCTTTGCCCTCCTGCCGCTCCCCCCGCGTCCGCGCCGCTGCAAGCCTCCTCGCTGCAGTGCCCGCTGCACGGGCCAGCCCTGGGGACGGGCACTGAGTCCACACGTGTGTGACAACAGTCATTTCCCTTTTCTAAGCGGGGAAGAATGTGAGGGGCTGGTTCCACAGCCATTGTTACATCGTTCATTACAGAAAAACTGCAATAGCAATCAGTTGCTTCCTACAGTTTCAATAGAAAACTCTTGAGCACGTCCAATTGCTCTGAAAACACAATTTCAGGAGTTGCTTGTGAGCACAGCGTACTCTTGCCACGGCTGTGCGCATTCTCAGGTGTGCGTGCTGCTAAAATAATGCTGCCCTAAGGAACCTGGTGCACCGTCTCACATTCGGGAGCGCTCACTCTGACAGTGCTTGCGCCCACGGTTCCATGCTCACTTCTCAACCTGGAATGAATTCCGGCTTAACCGACCTTTGGATGTTCAGTGACAAGATGGTCTCGGCAAATACACTCGAGTTGTAAACACAATGTCCATCGAGCTAAATGCTATAGAAATATCATTCGAAACTGCTCATGCAATTGTGAGGGCCCTTTCAATGTTCCGGGGCTCAGACTCAACGTTTATGGTGAGACACATCACTGCACTGATAGAATGAACTGTAGGAAAAGCCAATGGGACGGCTGCAGTCTAAGTCTGGAAGTGAGCTCTGCCCTCTCTAATTGAAGGTACCTGGGGACTTTAACCAGATTAGAGTGATGTATTTCAAAATTTGTTCAGGATATTAGGAGTAAACAGGCTTACAATTTACAATTAGCGCTAAGGCATTACAAATGATTGGGGCTTTAATTACATATCTCAGCCAAAAGAACAAGCCTCCAGCGCAAACGTGTGTTTATGCCAGACGGACTCTAAGACCACTGTACAGTAAACCAACAAGATGTCCTTATATTTTCTGAAGCATCAGCTCAACATTGCTCGACGCATACAAAACAACATCATCACTGCACAATAAAGAATATTTCCTCCAATAACAAACTGTGGCCTAATTCCTAAAAGGAAAACCAAAATCAACCCCACACCCATGTTTGCATTTGCGCTCCCAGGTAACTGTACACGGGTCAGACTGGGCCTCGAGGACCAGAACGGCACTACAGCCATGGCCGTTACATGGCACACGTGTGGAAAGGGGTTGGTGAAAATTAAGACTTACAGTTGCTAATATTCTTCAATACCGTTGCCATACCTTTAAACACAACACATAGGGTTTTTTTAAAAAAACAATTGTTTTGTTAATCCAACATAGAATGTTTAAAAAATATATACGTGGGTTTTTTTAGTTTCAAAGTGGTTTTAAAAATGTCTCTTATTTCTCCTAGATTTCACAGGCCATAGAAATTTTCTTCTGAGAAGAATCTGTCTTTACTTTTTGATATTGCTGCTGAACACAGGATAACTTGCTGTTTATGTGAAAGAAGGACTCCGCAGACGATGGCTCTGCAGCACTTACGTACAGAGAGACACCAGAGATGTACTTCGCTCTGAAGTCAGAAGAGCGATGGCCGCTGGAGTGGGACCATCTGCTGAAAAAGACTGAAGTAAAGCTCCTTGAAAGAACCTACTGCTCTCCTTTAACACGCGTTTTAAACTGTTCTGCAGTCAGTCTGGGGAGAGGAGACGTGCATGTACAGGCTCTGCCATTCCAAGGCCTCTGGCATAAACGGACATGACACACTGTCATTCAGTATTATGTTGACGAGACATTTTGAACTTACCACGATTAGTTTGTAAAACACTTAAGTTCATGTTCTAAAAACTAATTTAATGTATTATAATTTCATTCTTTTTTATATATTGTCTAACAGAATCACAGCTGCAAGCATTTTTGATTCCTGTTACTTTTGTTCTTTAATTAAATGACTACTTATTGCAGGAAATGAACATGTTTCCTAAAGCTCTTTTTTTCCCAGGGACAGTTGGGAAGGGAAGAGATTACAGTTATTATGAACCAGATCGTATCGCTTCTTTAACAACACGGAGTCCTCAAAAGGATGATCTTAATTAAGGTTTTCCATCTTGTGGCATATCGGTGTTTTGAACCAGATCCCAACCGGCATAACATGATTGTCATTCTACACTGGCTGAGGTTCCGGCTCTCTAAAGAATGACAATTAAGTTCACCGTTACTCTCATTCAAAAATTACTAAATTGGACAACCGTAGATAAAAATGTAACAATGTACTTTGATGTTTAGTGAACAAATGTTTTATGCTTGCCTGTCAGAGGAAAAAAGTTACTAAATACTTATAACAAAACAAACAGAACTGATGTAGAAAAATGTAAAGCCAGACATTCTAATAATGCTCGACATCTAGAAGCATCTGAGAATTCTACTCAAAATACTACTAAATGGAAAAGACTCAGGGAAAAAAAATTACACTGCTCGCAGGAAAGCATTCCTGGCAAGACAGTGACAAAATGGCACAAACACACATGAGAAAATTTTCTCTGCAAGAGTCTAAAATGCCACCTTTCGAGGACGTTGTTGAATCTCAAATATTTGAAAAAAGGTCTGTTGATCTCGTAGCTTTGTTGAGATGATCTCCATGAAGCGTGAAAACAAGAAAGAAAATAAGGTATGTAAAACTGATTGTATAGACTGCTACCAAATTGCTGCACGGTGGTGACTAGAAGCGGCGCAAACAGTGGATGGACGAACGTTCAGTTCTCCTCTGCGGCTCCGTGTGGGCATGAAACACCACACACGGTGCTGCTCTCCGGCTGAACTAACAGTTGCGACTGGAAGGTAAGAACACGCAGTGCAACACTCCAAAGGTACATCAGTGAGGGCAACGCCAGAAGAAACAGATGAATCGCGGGAGATGTGGTGCCCAGAACCAACCCAGCTTGCTAGTGTCGTTGTAGCTAGCTGTACTTTTGTACAACTCTTTAATGTTTGACTTAAGCGACGATCAGTTGGAGACTTGAATTACCCAATTACTTGATCCAAAGATTATTTTTTTTTCATTTATTGCAACTTTAAAATTTGCTGGATTTTCACAGAAATGTGTAACATTAGAACCAGACTTTTAACACACTGTTAGTTATATTTATCAATCAATTTATTATTAATGAAATACTGTTAATTCTAAACAACAATATAATGATAGTTCAGGTGTAATATACCAAAAGGGTAAACAGAAAGGAGAGAAAAGTTTCTTCAGCAGAACCATTTTTAGTTTCAGAACAGTAGATGACCCACTGTTAACTACAAACTTGGCTAATAATCCATGAAAGCAGCACTCCTGTTTAGCAGCGACGCGTACTTCCACTGGTAATAAAAATATTCTATAACACACATAAAACGATGTTGAAAAATATAATAAACAGACGACTATTTGAAGGGTAACTTAGAGCAGCTTTTTAAATTCCAAGCAATGCCTCTGAGCTGTATTACTAATGCAACCCAACCACCTCGGAGCTATGCAGCAATCTGCTGCGCTTCTCCCTCCTGTTCGCAGCCGCCCTTCACCACAAGCACCCCAGCCCTTCTGCTTCCGTCTGGCAAGAGAGAGAAAGTTGTGACGACTCCAGAGCCACGGTGGTCCCTGCCAGCCAACGGCCATCAGCGTACCGGGGGTGAGCCCACCGGTCAGCCGGAGCCTCCCGCGCGCTGGGCACGGCTGGTGCTGGCGCACTGCGGGCTGGCGGCCACCGCAGGCATGCTGGAGGCTCAGGGAGCGTACCGCCTCTGCCCAACGGCAAAACCAAACAGGCCCGAAGTGCACAATTCCACCGCTTCATTGGGGATCTGCTTGAAATGACCCCTGGGGTTTCTCAGCCACAAACTAAAAAAGGAAAAAAAAGCAATCCCCCTGTGCCGACCTTTGCCTTTGGGAATACTCCCTTGTGATACGCGTCACTTTTGACATTTGCTACATTTAACTGTACCTGCTCCATGTCTTTAGAAGTTAACACAGTGGGGTAAAGACTGATAGGTGGAGAGTAAAATGTCACACTTTATTTTATCACGAGTCCTCACTAAAACCAGCAGGTGTGTTATTTTCCAGTATGCAATCTCTGCAAGAATTTGGGCCTTGCAGTGCACTTTTTAAAACTTTGTACAGTTAAGAGAAAAATACTGTTTCATATGCAGATAAAATGAAAAGTTTAACATCTCACGAGGTCCATCTAGTGGAGAGGACAGTGAACAAAGGCTCAAAAAACCCCCAAACCTGAAACCAAAAATCAGAGGCTCAAAAAAATTATGAAAAGCATTAAGTATACTTATGTAGTGGGATGAGTGGACCAAATTATTTACTGGCAGTTTCAGTATAATAATTTCCAGAGACAACACAGCCTTGTCTTTTTAAAATTAATTCATAAAAATATATTTCATTTAGAATTATTTCTGTTTACAATAAGCCATTTCCCATCAATGAAGTTTAAGAACACCAGTTACTCTGCATTCTACTCTCGGTGTATACTGGATAGAAATCTCACATCCATTTCTGCTCAAAGAAGTTGGTTTTTAAATATGCTATTTTCAAAAAGGACAAAAGCAACCTGTTCTGTAAAGTCATAGATTAATGTAGGTTGGTAAGACCCTCCGTCCTTTCCCAGTCACTGGATCTCCCCCCGCCCCGAGTGAGGCAAACTTTGAAACTCCAGCAGGTGGCTCAGTGATTGCTGAGTTCAGGCCTCAGCCGAGTATGGACTTTCCTTTTCTCTTTATTTTAAAGACAATATTAATATAAAGATACAGAAGTGATTTAGAAAACAATAGGTTTTCCCATTTTCTTTTACGACCTCCGTCAAAGAGTTTTCTACCTTAAAGTTCAATTTTAAATCATGCTATTTTTCTCTCTGAAAATAAACTTTAGGAAAAGGTTACTCTCTGAAATAGTGAAAGATAAATCAGAGATAAATGAAGTACCTGCGAAGTACCTGCAGGACAGAGAGATTGCACAGGCACACCAACAAAGAGGTCACAAAAGGAAACCGGTTAAGTATCTCCAAAGATGTTGATCAGATGGGGGTGAGGTTCAGCCAGGAACTTCCACTCAATACATATTTTGAAAAAATGGCAGGTGGGTTTGAGGGAAGTCAAATTGACATGAGACCTAAGTGAGAGCCAACAACTTAAAATGATGAAAGCCAGTCTATTAGACTCTTTTAAAAATATTAGACAATTATAATAGCAATATAGCAAAACAGTTGCATTCAGAATTAGCTGGAATGAAAGTAAGAGTTTGAGAGATATAGACAGTGCTTTCGGTAACATATGAGAAAAAAATTAGAATAAAGAACACTACTGTAAGTAACGGTCGGTGTTGTAATAAAAGCAGTATTAGGAATGTAGAAACTAGGAAAAAGAGAAGAGTTCAGAGGGTAGCGGGGATAATGGAAGAAGAGACACAGATGTGTGGATGACGTTAAAGACAACCAAAGGACAAAATAAGAGGCATAATGGTATGTAAAATTAGGGCTATAAAGCAATGAAGTTGTGAGGGGCTGTTCCCCCGTCAGTGGCTAATACATTCTTTTGAGACCTCTGTGGTCGTTACTCCAGCTACAGAGAAGCACGTCCCCTCCTCAGCCCCGCTCCAGCGGCTGTGAAGCTGTGCCAGCGCGGGGCCGAGCCAGCTCGGGCCCGACGAGCCAGTCCGGGGTACGGGGCAGCTCCGCAGGAGCCAACGCAGACGAGCTCCCGGCCACGCACCTTCTGCGAGTTACTCTCTACGTCTGCTACTTCTGGGTCAGCTGGAAGTTTTTAATCCCCCTTTTTAAAGAGAACTTAAATGAAAAATATTAACGGTATTGTTCTGAGCCTGAAAAGTTTACAGTATATACATGCAGGATTGCAAGTTAAAAAAGACTAAAAGGTTGCAAGGAACTATAAAATGCAGGGTAGTTTTTTGTTTAATTTAAAAGCAAATTAAGGGAAATATTAGCTTAGAAGTTGCACATAATATTCAGAAGAAACCTAACTGGGCGACAAAGGAGAAGCATGAATTACGACTGACTGGTCATTTTCTTCGGAAAACTTCTGAAGTGTACGTACATGGAATAGATTGCATTAGCATGTAGGACACGTTTCTGAGCTACAGACAGCAGACCCTCTTAACTGTCTGTCTTTCATGAAATACTTGCGCAGCAGTGAGTTTTATCTGACAGACATGCAAACACGTACTACTGATTTAAAGCAAAATAGTAATGACATCATTTTGTAAAAAAAAAAAAAAGACAGACAATATATATTTTTCTTGAAATATTTAATACAACTATTTGCAATGTAGTTCAACGACAAATGTTTAGAGTTTTGTTTTCTCTTAAAAACTCCTACTGAGTTCTAACACCACAGACAAATAGGACTGAGATCAAAACAGGCAATTTGATCCCTGAATCATCTCTGACTGTATCCTGGATCAGACAAAAGGGGTATTCTGTACAGACAGACCCAAAACATAGATTCAAAGTGAAATCCAAAGTAATTTCTCTGAAAGTCAGTTAAATAACCTATAAAAATTGTTAAAGACATCTTAAAAAATAGCATGTGCTAAAAATAAAAGATTTACATATTGCTTTTTAGCAGATTCAGTAAAATAATTCCAACTCTCACATATGAAAGGAGAAGTCCTATCCACAAAGATTTTAACGTTATTAAGGAAACTATGCTTTCACTACAAAAGTTTCTCTGCATGTAAAAAAAAAAAAAGTTGTCAAATTTTACATTATAAAAGAGTGTTGTTATTCACCTTGACTTTCAGGAAGGTATTTGAAAATATTACTTCAGAATTTTATCTTCCAGTTGAAACAATGCCTGCAATCCTCTGCGAACATTACACAGTTCCTCTTCTTGCTGTGCAAAAAGCATTATATTTATCACATACTTTAAATAAAATCTCCTGGGTTTGCTGGTTTTTTTTGGTTTTTTTTTTTGGTTTTTTTTTTTTTTTAAGTTTTGTAATTCTGGTGCATAGTATATGCTGCTTGTAACATATCAAATATGATACTTCTCATTTCCATGTCAACATTCAACGTCTTAAGACACCAAACTAAAACAGTATATCCGTATCTACCTGCTGCTTTTATTACCCAGATAGGGTTTAAAGTATAACACGTCTGCTCCTCAGGGGTCAGCACTGGGACCCGTGCTGTTCAACATCTTTGTTGGTGACATGGACAGTGGGGTCAAGTGCACCCTCAGCAAGTTTGCTGATGACACCAACCTGTGTGGCGAGGTAGACACGCTGGAGGGGAGGGATGCCATCCAGAGGCACCTGCACAGGCTGGAGAGGTGCGCCCATGCCAACCTCATGACGTTCAACAAGGCCAAGAGCAAGGTCCTACATCTGGGTCAGGGCAATCCCAAGCACAAATCTAGGCTGGGCAGAGAATGGACCGAGAGTAGCCCTGAGGAGAAGGACCTGGGGGTACCGATTGATGAGAAGCTCAACATGAGCCGGCAATGTGTGATCACAGCCCAGAAAGCCACCCGCATCCTGGGCTGCATCAGAAATGTGGGCAGCAGGGCGAGGGGGGGGATTCTGCTCCTTTTAATCTGCTCCGGTGAGACCCCACCTGGAGAACTGCATCCAGCTCTGGAGGCCCCAACACAGGAAAGACATGCACTTGTTGGAGCGGGGCCAGAGGAGGCCACGAAGATGCTGGGAGGGCTGGAGCCCCTCTGCTGGGAGGACAGGCTGGGAGAGTTGGGGGGGTTCAGCCTGGAGAAGAGAAGGCTCCAGGGAGACCTTATTGTGGCCTTCCAGTGCTTAAAGGGGCTCCAGGAGAGCTGGGAGGGACTTTTTACAAGGCCATGTAGCGATAGGACGAGACGGAATGGCTTCAAACTGGAAGAGGGGAGATTCAGATTAGATATTAGGAAGAAACGGTTCCCTGTGCGGGCGGTGAGCCCCTGGGGCAGGTTGCCCCGAGAAGCTGTGGCTGCCCCATCCCTGGAGGTGTTCAAGGCCAGGTTGGACGGGGCTTGGAGCAACCTGGGCTGGGGGGAGGTGGCCCTGCCCAGGGCAGGGGGTGGGACTGGATGATCTTCAAGGTCCCTTCCAACCCAAACCATTGTATGATTCTACATCAGTGATAACTGGATTCTGACTAATTTTTATTTTTGATAGGGAACTAGAAATTACAATTTTTAGTAATTTATTGTTCAAACAGCTATACTTAAAAAAATAAATAAAAATGAGGACAAGATAACTTCACTTACCATTTCTTTAAGAAGTTTCTCTTGGAGTCCTTTTATGTCTTCTTTCATCAGATGCATCTATAAAAAGATACTGAATGCATCTTCTCTGCTTACAACTGGTAACCCATTTTCAAGACAACAATTACATCCCTAAATGGTTTATAACCGAGAGATACAGACGCACATGCATCTTCATGCCTAAGGAAAGGGATGTGTGTTTTAAATTTGTTCTTTCTTGGGTGATTAGCACTGGTAAGCAAAGCCACAGAATACATAACAAATCTTGCAGCATTTTCCAGATAATTGCACGCACCTAACAGGTGAAATCTAGGCCTTAAACACTGAATGTTGGTACACTAAGGGATATTTTATGACAATGAAAAACTACAAAACTACTTATTTGGCATTAACACAATGCTGAGGAAAAAAAACTTTCTTTGGAAAAAAGACAATACTATTATCTGTTAGTAAAATTGAAGAATTATTAAAAACAAAGAACGAAAAGTTCATCATACCTCTGAAGTAAAAATATGTTCTTCATAGTCAACGGTATGGTAGATGTTCTTTTCAAATGAAGTTTTAAGAATCTGGATTCTGAAGAAATAAAAGGCAGTTCAGAACAGCTTTGCCACGTATGTACTTTCCACGTGTATTTATGAATACGTCCCGTTATTTGTAGTCTATTTGTATTTAAAAGCATGGACAAGTATTACCATCGTTGCTACTACTGGAATAGTCCCTCTGGTATGTGGAGAAATTCAGTTGGAGAATAATTACATTTTTAATCTCATTTTCTCATGTACTATCTCTATTTCATGGACAAGAGAAATTGGATAGAGAAGAGTACTTGACCTAACTTATATGTCAAATGAACGGAACACAAATCTCATCCTGGGATTAATGAAGCCTACTAACCTCTGTTGCTCATTTCTCATGTATGTACTAAAAGTATGCGTATGTTTTTTCCAAAAGGTCTGGAAAGAAAAATATTAATAGACCATAATCAGTAGGAACCAATATTTTCTGAACTGACTAATATCTAATATGAATAAAACAACCTACAACCACAGAATCAGCACACAAGGGACAGGAGTTACACAGTCACCACAGAAGCTTCAAAAAAAAAAAAAAAAAATCTTAGCTGGCTGGCTGAGGCACTTCAGGAATTCTGTTTTCACGGAACCAGTTTCACCAAAAACACGTTCTGCATAACAGTTTCAAAACAATGAAAAAGCATATGCATAGCATTTTATTCAGACTTTCCATATAATTTAAGCCATGCCTTCAGAGTAAAAGAAAAAAGTGAGCATGCCTTGTGTTTACATGAATATTTGTATATTGATTTTTACATTACAGCAAGTAGCAGCCCCATTATGTCAACTGGCTCATTGTAGAACACACAGCACATCAGGTTCAAAAGGCTACATGCTATTCCTGAAATACAGGCCAGCTGAAAAAAAGGCTCATGAAGTGGGGTAAGCAGCCCATTAAAAGTAGCAGGAGTAGTTTATTCTAGGAAGAAAAACATATAGTGGTGATCTAGAAATTCTAAGACCATCGCACTAGCCAATCCTAACACCTCAAATTCATTATTTGAAATTTGAACCAACTTCAATCAAAATGCTAAAGGCTTTTTAAAACAGAATTAATGATCTGAAGTTAAAGATGATACGAGTAATCTATGGATTCCATAAGAATTTGTTTTTCTCCATGACCAAGCAATTAAAATACAAACCGAGAATTCTTTTTCCATGTTTTTCAGGGACTGAGAATCTTTTTCAAAATTCTCAAGTTCCTCAAGGAGAGCAAAATGAAATTTGTCCAGCTGCCTGATCCTACCAAAACAAAATGAGTTACTTTTAGAAAGTATTCATTGCATTTTAAGGGTGCTTTAAAATAAATCTTTTGTTACAGACCTGCATTCATGAAGCTGGTAACTCATTGTTGTCAAATGCTCATGGGCAGCTCTTAATGATTGCTTAGTAAAATGATCCATTTTCTGTGAGCGGCTCTATGAGGATGTTTTAACATTACATTCAGATTATTTTCACTTTAGGAAAAAAAAACAACCTGTCGTATGTTTAGTACTGTAATTGCTTAGTATCACAGATCATACTGAGCAAACCCCCTTTTTTTAATTATCCTTTTTGTATTATTTCCTTTAAGGAAAATCTTTCTGTTAATGAAGAGTTACTAAACAGAGGTTTATGTTTTTGATAAAATTCTACCTAACTTAATTAGAAGTACGTTATTTGAAAAATTAATTCCTCAAAATAAAGAAAGTACACATGAAATGAATGATGTGTGCTTACAGCTTTCTTAGATTAACAAATGCATTATTCAGGCTCAATTTTTCCTTTTTGCAAATAAATTTAATTCACGGGTTTGATAATTTGAAAAAAAAATCAAAATGCAGTATGCTCATTACTTTAGATACATAAGCTTGTTTTGAAACAACAGACAGGATAAAAAATAAAATATACCTGGGAATGAAAATACTTGCAGAGTTAGGTACATACAGGAATTGAAAAAGGCATAAAAGGAAACGAATTCTGTCATCTCTTCAAGTTCTATGCACATAGCTATTTTCATGTCCTTTTAAGCAAATTCTGTGGTGTAAGACAAGCTATCGTTCATACACACATGTACCCACACAGACAACGAATATTGTATATGAAATGTCTTGCCTCAATTTTCTTAGTAAATTCTTTTTGGAGCTTCTGACATATACCGATAGTTGAACAGCCAGGTTCCCAGACTTCCCCATCCAAAACAGACACATCATTTACAGATACAGTAGATATGCTTTCAGACACTGACGAGAAGTAAAAAAAAAATAATGTCACAATTCAGTATGAGAAAGTATCCTATCTGAAGCTGCAACAGGGCCAAGAACAGCTTTGTTATAAATACATTCATTTCAACAATGAAATGGCTGAGACCAGTTTCTATTTTTGTATCAATTTTCTGACTTTTTATATTCTCTAAATATTTAACATTTCTTTTTATTTCTTTTTTTAAATATGTAAAATTATTTTTTATGAATACTATCTTTTTTTGTTAAGACTTTAATTTGGTACATTATTTTAAACTTTTGCACAACTTTCACTCCATAACTAACCTCTGTAAGTAATAGCATCATCTGTTTTAAATAATTTTCTAGGCTGTAACTTTCTTCTTCTCTTTGCTTTCTTTTCCTCCTCTTTGCTTGTTTCCACTTCATCAGAATTGCTTTCTGTATCACTGTGGTAGCTTCGTTTGAAAAATGTCTGTATAGTTGGTCCTTTAAAAACATGAAAACAATGACTAATTTTAGTATTATTTAGAACAAAGACATGGGAAGATAAAGAAGAGTTTATTGACCCTTTGGATCCAAACTCTAGGAGTATGTGTCTTGGCTTTAAAGCTTGGGAACTATATAAAAATTAATAGGCGTTACATTTATGGAGGGCACGTTCAGTAGATATGAGAACTTGATGCTAATGAACAACAGGATTTCAGCGGAACACAGAACTCTGACCCATGCAAGACTTGCTCATTAAAGAGATTCACCCTAAGGTCTCTTATCCTGATAATAAATTATCCCCACTTTTTTGAAAGCATCAGTGGGAATGCTTCTAACTCTTTCTTAAGAGCACAACTAACTCTGCAGTAACTGCGTTTTGGAGCCCAATTTTCAGGTTTTCTGGGGGTAATTAAAACAGCAGAGAAAACGACCAAAAAAAAGGTAAAAAATTAATAACACTGAAAATGTATAAAATAAAACAAGATTAAAAAACTTGGGCCATATTTTTATGCCAAATAAACATTTTTCTTAACCTTTATGGAGACACATCAAAAGCCTTTTGCTTTAAGTTAAATGTCTGTACCTGATTCATGTATGGGGCCACAAGGTTCTTCACTCCACGACTGTACTTTACTTCCACTGGTAAGAGACAACGGAGATGGTGGTACACAATCCTAAAAAAAATCACCGGTTTATTAGCTTCCAAATTAAAGCATTTTTAGAAGCCTTCATCAGAAATGCACATTTATGTTGCTTTTCATTAAAGTAGGGATGAACACAACCAAAAAAACAACTGCAGGAATTACTACTAGGTCTCATTCGATGTCAGAATAAACAAATTCTCCACCACGTTAATGATAGCAATAATTCAAATGACCATTAAGGTCTAACTGTTTCTTGCAATAGGACACAAACAAAATTATTTCTTAAAGGAGTTATCAGTGCTTTTTTCACCAGGAAAAGTGGTTTGAAGGCACACAGCAGATTTGAGTTATTTGCCGATGCTACAATAGTTGTAAAGCAGACAAAATAGACAAAAGGCTGCAGCTTTCTTCTGAAGAGCAAAGGATTTAGTAACATACCTCTTCTTTACTTTTGGTGATAGGTTTAGTGGTATCTTGTAGTCTTCCTTTAATAGAAAGTATGTCTGAAAAGCAATGTCTGAAACTTGAATCTTCATTATTATTGCGTGTTTCAGATACAGATCCCTTTGCATGTTTTCCACTGACAGTTTTATATGTCGTTAAGCTGAGCTACACATTAACGAAAAAAAATCATTATTGAAAGGAGATGTACAAAAACATAGAGCAGTTGGCAGCTGCATTGAATGATTTCAGTTAAAATAACTGTAGAGTAACTTTAATATTCTTACCAAAGATGCTTCAGTTAAAACTGGTGAGAAACTTTTATTTCCAAATGTTAACTTTTTAACAGTCACCTCAGGGGACTGATTTAGACATATACTTTGAATATTATTCTTTTGTGGATAGAAATTATTGGGAGAGATCCCTTTCTCAAATTTTAATACTTCTGTTTTTTCTGGTGTTGACTCCTGAAGACCAGGTGATATTTCACTACAAATAAACTCTTGAGGAGCATCTCCTTCTGATATTCTTTCAGCACCTAGAAAACAGTTACTTAAGTGTAAGCATGAGGAATGAAAGTTAAGAGGTAAGTGAAAGCCTCATATTGCTAACTGTTCCAACTCCAGGTATTTGCAAGTCTCAGACAGGTGGACTTTTACTTTAGGTGTTAGCTTGCCACACTTGCACTTCTTCCACTTTCCGCGCTGTTTTAGCAGTTACCAGATTCATTCTAACACTTATGTATTGCACTACTATATTATGCTGATGTCAAATAACTGCACTAACCTATAAAAGTGTTAATGATATACTAATACACTTCGTTAAATTATGTGATACACACTGAATTAAGGGCTATCATTATTTTAAAAGCATGAAGTAAATGTGAAATTTTACTACTGTGATAATCCTCATTTAACCTCCAGCTTTTGATAACAGTATTGCTATAAATTTAAAGTCAAAATACATACATCTCATTGTCTCAAGAGATGCACGACTCTCAGGTGAAGGCATTTCAATTTCCTTTTCTTCTGCAGAATTATTTGGTTTAATAAATGCTTTATGTATATAGTTAGCTACTCTTTTTGGCTCCATAAGTACAATATTCTGGAGTTCCTTTTGCTGATTATCATCCTTTTTTTCCCCAATCGTATGTTTCTATTAAAATACAAAGTTTATGTAAACGTTACTTGTAAACATACGGGAAGTGTGTATATATGCAGGTAAAGAGCATATTACTATACGTACCCTTGAACAAGCAGAAGGTCCAAATAGGAACATCATTAGAAGTACTTAAATTCATAAGGATATCAGGTGTTCTGTATCAATATGCATTGAATTTGTTTAATTCAGCACCCAAATTCCTATTCTTATGAACTTCTTAACTAGCGGAGGCAATTACCAACGCTTCACAATTTAATCAATAAAGTTTACGGACCTATCCATATACACTGAAATGTTATGCTAAAAGAATGAAAAAGTTCTAGCACCCAACATTATTGCTTAAGTTACTAAAAATCCTACTTGGATATTCAGCAAAGGTATTGACATACCCTCTATCAACTCAGCATTTTCTACTGTACACAGAATAGGGATAGCATTATCAAAACCACATTATCTAGAAGAACAAAATTTGGCTCACTAAAACCTCCCATTTAATAGACATTTTCAAAATATTGTTAGGTTTTTCAAATAAAGGACACAGCTGTTCTTTGAAGCAGAGTAAATTTCATAAACAAACTGAAATGCTGTTACGACTGAGAAGGTTACTTAGGACTGATTTTCTTAGCAGCTAAATACTAATTATTAAAAAAGGGCACTGCTAGAAATAATAAAGAAAATTCATTTCCACTTGCTCATGTTGGGCACTTAAAATTCAGGACTGCTAAGTACAAAGCAGACCAGAGTTTATTTTGAAAAATATAGCAGAAGTGGACTTTTAGGAATAAAGTGCAACTTTATACCTGTGTTTTTGATTTCTCCTCCTTAGGGCTGCACGCTGAAGACTTACTTTCACTCTCTGACTCTGAACTGGAAGGCTCTTTGTAATTTTTTGCTAATGTTGCTCTTCGAGGTCGTTTTTGTCTGGTGGTTTGCTCTATCGTTTCATCAGTTCTCAAATTCTGTTTTTTACATTCATTTCTCTTTGGAAGAATAAAAACATCTTCAGTTTATATCAGAATTAATAATGAATAAGTATATAAGAATAAATGGCAGGTAACTTGATTTAATTACTTGAAATCCATTATTTCAAAACAACTAAAAAAATTTAACTTTACCAAAGCTCAGAGATTCCAACCACCAATCTACTAAGTATTTTGGGAAGATAATTTTCACTGTAGGACACAGTGCAGTCAGGAACGTAAGAGTCAAAAAAAATACGCCATTTTTGAACTACAGGAAAGCTGAAGTGGGTTTCCAAAGCTTGCTCTCTGAAATATGTGCACATTTAAATTAGACAGTAACTGTTTTGAAATAGAACAAAATTAAAGCCTGCATAGTGAGCAGGAACCAGTGTCCTTGATCGTCACCTCTGAACTGATGACCTCAACCACCAGACTAGAATGAATCTTCCTTTCTACCTGCTCCCCCTTCTACATCGTAACTACTGCCACTCTCTCTATACGGCAGCCAGTGTTCAGAAATAGAGCAAAGCATGTTCTCACTGAAAGTACCCCAGAGACTGACATTTGAAGGGATGTAAAACACAAGTGCAGCGCCTCTCAGACTAGGAGAGACTAGAATTCTTGCCTCCTCCTTTCTTGATAAGTGCTCTACGCAAAACGTATGCTTTCCTAGCCTCGTATCCAGGGTCAGGTCTACTAGCGACTTCCTGGGCTTCAGATGCTCTCCATCTGAGTCCATGCAGAAATGGAACCCTACCTCCTCAAAGCAGGCACTTTGAACTTGCTTGGGTAGATCTGGGGAATTTCGCTGCTAAAAAGGGACGCTTTTTAGTAGGTAGACAGATTTAACATTGGGCAATTGGAGCCCTCTTCAGTTTTGATATACCTGGACTAGACATCATCATCAATACCTACATGTGGTGATCATAATTTCAAATGCATGATGTACATTGAGTGCATGTATGTAGCTTTAAGCTAATAACATTAAATAGATTTGAATAATTATTGTACAGCCTGAGAGACCAAAGAGTAGTCTGGAGGGGACAGAGGGCAGGTTTGGGGTGTTTTTTTGGTGTTTGTTTTTCTTTTTTAAACTGTGGCTTACAAACATCTACAAGTACCTTCTATTAACATGTTCATAATAACTTACACTTTATTATACTTCCAACTTGAATACGCTTACAATATTTTGCAATCATTATTCTTTATTAACTTCTATAACATTTTTGTTTTCGCAGTTTCACTGATAAGTATATTCATTTAAAGCAATTATAATCTCAAAGGTATCAGAATTCAATTAAGCACATTAGACACATGAAAAACCCTTGCTGAAAAGCTAATGGCATATTCAAAGGAGTAGATGGCTATTAAGCCGTAAATAGACATAATCAATAATTTTAAGTAAACTTATAAAAGCATCAATGTATAATAATCATTCTGACTCATAGCTAGTATTATGCCTGAAATACTACGTAAACACTACATAAAAGGAATACAGTACCCAAAAAGAACAAACTGTATTTAACAAATGATCTTGAAATAAGCATGGAGAAATGGCACATATTTATGAAAAGTTATTTTAAAACAATATCTGTAGTGAGTTAAGACATTTTGAATATGTATTACAAGCCTAGTTGCAAATTTACATTTACCTTTTTCTTATTTGCATTTTTCCCTTTAGGTTTATCCATGTGGCAAGGAGGTTCAGGGAATTTATCTGCTGTTACAATACATAAAGTTATAAAAAAATCAGCAAAATAGTCAAATGTTTGACATTCAGAGTTTTAGTTGTAACATCACAGAATCTCTTTTATGCCTGCAAACTTACTGATTCAGTAAACTGCTTTCAGCACATTATTTTAAAAAGCCAAAGGTTTTTTGTTGACAACAACCCCCGCTTGTCCTATCCTCCAATAATTTCCATGTTAAAATACAGACATTTTGGAAATTAACCTTTATAATAATGATTAGAACTAATTTGAAAATTCCTTATGCTTGGAAATAAGACAACAAAAACATATTGTATCTGCAACACAGCACATCACATGCTGTGCAGCTAATATCTATGGACAAATTTATTACAGCATTCTTAAGAATTAGGAAAAAAAGCTTCTTACTTTTGTCTGTGGTTATTGGTTTCCGTAAGTTTTTATTTCTACTGTAATCAATTAACTGAGCTTTAGATTTTCTATTTGATTCCTGTAGCCAACTAATGTCTGTCCTGCTGTCATCACCTCTGTATTCTGTGTCTGTGTCACTAAAGAGATGCTTCTTGTTTTGATTGTTTCTAGTCTACAAAAAAACCCCCAAAAATTGTTACCTTATTGATTTACTTTTAATATACCTTTCACTCACATAATTGGTACTTAAAGGCAGGAAGATAAGATATACCGAGATCCTCAAAAATCTAAGCCTTACTTTTTTTCTTCCTTTCACTTCAGTGCTAGTTTTACTGTCATCTGCGTTCCTTAATTAGAAAAAGAAAAAACACCTTTAAATGATACATTTAAAAATACTTGTTCTAAATCTTTCTACTATTCATGTTATATGTGGATTAAGAATTTAAACAAATATACCTACTTTTCTTTTCACATCCCTTTAGGAAATACCTGTTTAGCTTAAAACCTCAAGGATGTGCTTATTCACTAATGATCAGTAAGAACACAGAGTAACAATACGTCCCTTTGCAGACTGTCCATTGACAAAAACAAGCCCCCTCTGTTCAGTTTATATGCCCGCAGTATTCCATGAAGAGAACGAATGCTGCTTTCTTCACAAAACACATTCTTTCCTTTTTACCAGCTTCCCAAAGGAAAATCATGAAACAGCCTAGGAGACCACAGCAACTATGTTTACTGCTTGAAAAAATAACATAGTCAAGATATTATTGTCACACACACATTCCCTGGATTTTCGTGACAGAACGCTGGAGAATGCAGACAGTGCTATTCTTGATTATCAGCAGAGTAGGACACATATAACATCCCTACCCTTTTTTGTTTGGATCTGTATGAACACTCTGTCCAGTAGCACACAATTCTGGGATCTAAAATGTAAATAAATGAGAAACAAATGAAAGTTTTCATTTGTTATACAACTTAAAATTAAACTGGCCATCAGACACTAACAGCTAAGGGCTTTCTTGTTTAGTTTTTATACTCAGCAATTAAATTACGGTGATTAATTTCTATCTTAGAAATTATTTAACAACAGAGCTGATAATTAAAACCAACTGGAACTGACTGAAGCTTTCAGCGTCTCAAACGAATACATTAGTTTCCATCTGCTTTGCTTCCCTGCCTTTACCAATTCAGCAGGCTCCTCTGAGCCATAAGCAGCAAAACTATCTTTTGTTGTCTTTTGCTTTTACCTTAGCTAGATTTTCCTTCTACTCAAACATCTGGGCAAAGATGTCTTTTTAAATGTTAACTGTACTTTCAGTAGACAATTTAAGTTGACTGAGCTCCTTTATATTCTATTCATAACACATCAGTTTCAATTATATTCTTACTCCAAGCTTTATTGTGGGCTCATCAAATCCACTGATGTTAAAGTTGTAGACGTCATCCCTGTCAAACAGACACACAGATCAATTTTGTGACTGAATTAATGAACATTTCACAAAGTTAGGTATGAGTAATTAGAAATCCTGTTTGAAAATGGTTTAACTACTTACATCATATGACCAGCAGTTATATTAAGAAAAGTAGTGGTTTTCAGGTTTCTATGCTGAGCTTCTTCCTATAAATAAATAAAAAGTTAACTTATATGTCAAATTTGGACTATGCATTCATGCACACTGTCGTCTCAAAAAGCAAGTTCTTCATCATGAACGTATGAAAAAACCTAGCAGCTACTCAGACTTCCACTTGACTAGCAACAGCACAATATGGCAAAAGGGGACAAGAGCTAGGAGAAACTAAATCTTTTAGAATTTATCCTTTAAGGATATTAACAAAACTTCAGAATTTTTTCCCCCCAAACCTTAAGACTAATTCCTGGCTATATCCCATTTAAGGATTCTGTAATCTCATTTACTGTAATATTTTTATTCTAAATATTTAGCATTGACATGAAAAGAAACAGATTCTATTATATAATTTGTAAACAGAAATTAATTTGGGTTTCACTGGCTGATAGTTGCCTGTAAAAATATTATTCCACGTAAGTAAATACATAAATAGTTTAAGTATATACAGTTAATGCATAATTAACATTACTGCCTACAGATATTTAACATTCAGTGGTTAGTGAACTTTTGCTTTACATCTACTAGCTACCACCATATACGTACATATATCTGACATGAAAAAGATCTCCAAAAAAGCAATAATATGTTACCTTAGAGACACAGGATTTATTTAAATATGGCCTAAAAAACAAGGATATGTTTCGTTAAATGTCAATTAGAATATATGCATTAGAATACTGCTTATATAAACAAAAGCCTTATCAAACGCAAGCTGTACTGCAGGTTCTGCATGTCTTCCAAGTGCCTATCCAAAAGGTTTAATAGCTGACATAGCCTAACTACTCCAGTCCTTCGTCACCCAGTTACAGTCACACATAGAGAGCATGGAATTACATGTAAAGTTCCAGCAAGGTAAGACTAATTTTCCTAAATAAAAGAATTTGTTAAATTTAAACTCTCCAACAGTCAAGTCTTTCAAGAAGAGAGAGCTAGGAACTTGACATAATCAGAAAATGACTAAATCCAAGTTTGGTCCCTGAACTATGATGATAGGATGGAGAGACACCCAACACGTGCAGTGCCCATGAACTTCCCCAGTTAATTTCTCCCCATGGAAGGTGTTGCGAGTGAGTGAATGAGTGAAAGACCACTGAATAGACTTTCTAACAGCTTTTGTAGTTATTTCAACGACTGGAACTATTTGACTACTAGTCTCCTACTCTTTGGTACAATAGGGTTTATCAGAAGTGAACAAATGATTCAGAAGAAAGCCAGATGTGAAATTACTGTCGACAGAGGAGTAGATCACAGACAAAGCCACATGCAAAAAAAGAATAAGCACAAATGTAAATAGTTCACATCATACCTGTTAAAACCCAAGGAGTCTCTTGCTTTGCTTTTCTCATCAGTCTTTACGTTATATCTGTCACTGATTTTGCTTATTAGAGATTTTGTTGCATCTGTCATTTCTTTAGACTTTGTTTTCTATAAAGACAGAGTTTAAGACTCAACTTTGAAACCATTAAACAGAAGGGCAAAGTTGCAAACAGAACTACAGGTTCCCAACAATCACCTAAGCTTCATTAAATGCCTTCTAGTGGTACTAAATCACATTCCTTTGAAAACCACTTTCCTTTGCATTGCCCAAACAAGGAGCAATAAAACATCAGTTTCGCAGATATTTTAAATGTTGCAGTTTTGTGTACTATAATGTTCAAAAGTGAATGAAGAAGTGCATAAGAAGTACAAGTTGGTGCTTCTTTAAGAATTATTTTTTAAAAAGATTATTTTTAAAAAGACATTTGGAGGAAACTAATCTTGAACAGGTCACACTGACAAAAGCAAACAGTGAAGCTGACGTTATTTAATTCACTTGGTATTAGTGGAAAGTCAATTAAAAATAAGTTTTTGACTAATTAAGAGTAAAATACAAATTTTGAAACACTGAAAATTTCACAATTCCCTTAACTGCAAGTCAAAGAAATGAAGGCAAGAAACTCACCGTCTTTGATTGTTTTGGATTCACAGTCTCTTTTCTGAAGAGAATATCAGGTTCCTCTCTTGTAGAATCAGAACGCAAAGATGTTTTGGACACTCTAGCTGAAAGAAATGTTTCAAATGATGTTTCAGTAGTAGTTTAAATATTTTTCCCTTCTGAACTTAACAGTTTCTGTTCCAAATGATTAATACTCTGACTGTCCATTAAGTATTTTGCAGTTTTCTTCCCTCATGTCATCAATTTAATTTTCTTGGTTTTTTTCTCTTTTTTAATTAAAAAAATGAACAAAAAACTTTGTTTCACAGCTCTTTCACAAACAATAGAAACTAATACCAGAAAACAAAGCACAGCTGCACATTAAAAATCATCCAAAACATTTTTAACACTAACAGTTAAGAAACATAACCTGGATGGGACGTACGTGCCAACGATGGATTTAGCTTTTGCTTGTCACCAGTGGTTATATTCTTCTCAGGAACAGAGCATGCTCTTTTTTTCAATGTTTTGCTTTTATCAAAAGAACTCTCCAAAAGACCAGACAACCTAATAAAGACAATACCATCTTATTATCAGTGAATTGCAGAAAGTGTCTTTATTATAATAAACATGCATCACAAATTAGGAAAATAGTGATACCTTGTAGATAACGCATTTTACATTGGTACCTAAGCCTGCTACCATTGTTCCATTAACCAACGCAGTGTAAAACGGCAAACCTTCAGAAACAACATATATTTTTAAGTCAACTTTAAAAAGGCAACAATATCCTATAGCCATCATTAAACCTTGAACCTAAATTAACTCTGTGGTGTGTCGAATCTACTACTTTATATGGCATAATTCACTTTTGTAAGCCTGCATGTCATTTGTATTTTACCTTCTGGTATCATCTGAAAGAATTACTCTACTCGTTACTACTAAACCTTACTTAAACTCCTACTCTGATCTTGTTAATGAGTATTGTTTTCATAAACAGATTCACCAATTTACAGTCTTTGATTAAGACAACAGAACAGTATTGTTCATGAAGTAGTATTAGCAAATACATCCGAGAGTGCTGGTTTGGTGCCATGCAGTTCAGAAGAAAACCAAACCAAACCAAACCCGTGATATAATAAAAGTGACCTGACTTACACAGCCAACAGTTCTTAATGCAACTCTCAGGGAAGACAAGACAATTAAATTCTGGCATTTTCTGAAACTATGCAACAAAATTTCAATTCTGACAATATTTTAAAATACTCCTTTCAAAGTGAGTGACAACAACAGTATTCTTTTCCAATACTTACAAAGGTTTGTTGCTTCTCTCTACTGGCTGAGAATCAGGAACAATATCTAATGCATCATCTAAACGAGACATTATTTTGGTATCAATTATTAATACAAAAGAAATGGACAAAATTAAAATAATTTTAAAATTAAGGACTATCAACACTTGTAAAATTACTTGCCTAAAGTTTGCTTTTGTGTGGCCTCAATTTCTGCCTCTTGTATCATTTCTAAAACTTCTTCAGCACACATTTGCTACAGTGGGGTCACACCCAAAAGAAAATATTAGTGTAGGACTATAAACAGTATAACCTTGTAAACTTGTATTTTCCCTAATAAAATCTGAAATTATTTTTTCATTTCACAGAAGTGCTGATTCCAGTACCTTTTCTGGTAGTTTTGCCTCATTTCTGATATTTGACTTCCTGATCTTCTGCTCCGTTTCACAAACTCCATTGTCTAGGGCACATCTCTGTTCTCTCTAAAAAGCACAATAAGTACCACTGACAATTACAATCCATAAATTCCAAAGAAGTAAAATTCTCCTTGAAATTAACACTTGCAATATTCTAAACTGCACTTTCTATATGTTAAAGCCTTTTTCTAGAGAATGGCTGTACCCAAGAATGCTTCAGAATCCCATAGTCTGGGATTTGAGCTGAATCTGACCCAGAAAGACATTTAGAACCAGAAATAAAATAAAAATCTTACTTTGAAGTCTTTGTTCAACTGGAACAGAAGCAGAAATACATCTACTCAAACTGCAGTTTAGTGACACCTATGTAGTTTTATTTGATTTTAGTGAATGCCTAATCAAAAATGCACTAAAACCAATGCTATGAATGCTATAACCTGAAGACATTAACATTTCACAACTATAGCTGAATGTATTATATGTTTTTAAGAGTATTTCAACACTGCATAATAATTTGAGATTCTCTGCATACACCCTTCTCATATTATACACAAAGAAAGAACTGTGGTTCTAGTAAAAGCAAGCTAACTCTGGGGTCAGAACTGACGACAGAATGCAAACTTTGGCTAATTTTGTAAGAGTTCAGTCTGAATTTAGATGTATTAAACCTGAAATCCAGAGGACAAGAAAACGTTATGCAATAAATTAAAACACATTATCTTCTACAAGTTGCTAACTGCAAAACTCTTAGCTCTTTAAAATATGAATTAGAAACAAATTAGAATAGAAATTAGTTATTCTAAGTAAAAGACTTAGATACAGATGACATGCATACTCCAGTAGGTTCTTGATAGAAATTCCTTGTTCTGGTCTCGTTTATTGCATTATTGTTAGACCTTTCAGCAGAGCTCATAATTTCCAAAGGTAATTTAAATCGTCCTTTACAAGGAGTGGCTAAAAACAAACCAGAGACATGTTAGAATTCTACCATTTCTTCTGTTACGATTACTGTGCTGTCTGTGACATCAACATGAAGAGTTTTGCCCATGATCACATCTATAACAAACTTTAAAAAAAGAAAGTTGGCTAGTATTTATATCGACTTATTATGTACCTTTTATAATTCTATTGATTTCAGTTAAGTTACATGGAGTTAAAGGACCCCATAGACCACGGGTGTCTGGAGGCAAGCAATGCTTTTCACAGCCTGGCTCTAGTAGAAAATAGTTGGCCACTTATTTAAAGATTTTACTGTAATATATTTTTGCTGGAATAGACTGTGTGGTTAAGTTCCAAATAAAAAAGTTACAGAAGTTCTCTGTCTTGCTCCATCCTAATTTGAAGATGCTCTCTTTTGTAGCCTCTGTTACTCATAATTTATATGTGACAGGTGGATATACATAACTAAGGATACAGTTCAAGCAAGAAAATTAAGTTTGTTAGTCATGCTGTTCTGCCACTAGTTGTATCTCCAGCCTCTACTGGTCTTTGTCTTACAAATCTCTCCCTTGTAGAAAGTATTAAATATCAGTTACACTAAGACTATTAGCAGGAAAGTGATGGCTCCTATTTGAGGTAAAGCCCCTTTCTTATCCTTTTCTCTGTAAGAAGCACTTTTGACATAACTATCAGTAGCACTGAACCTGTGACTCAAACTCACAGTGGATCCCACCTTGCTCAGCCGTATAATCAACTGCCCCTTGAAGAAACACTTGCAGTTTCTAGATAAGAGTAAAATGCAAGTGACAGATGTACACATTGGAGAAAGCGGATTTTCCACTGCAACTGCTATAAAAGCACTAACAGCTGAGAATTCTTTAAGCCAAGAGCATATGAGGAGAGAGATGAAGAAACACCTATGTTTTAGGTCTTCTAATCGACTGCTGACTTCTTAGCTTGTCCAGCACAAACAGCTGACTGACAGCAGCAGTAAAAACAAGAGGTGGCCTTCAGCTGTTTGGAATGCACGTGCAGCTACTATCCTGCATCAGGGCTGTGGGCCAGGAGCAAGTGGCCTAGTTGAAAAATCTCAAGTTTAAAGCACCTGCTAGGGAGATTTTATAAGGTCTACTTGTCATTTCCAGCTCTGCAAAGGATCACAGTTCATGCTTGCATTTCAAAGACGATTTATAACATATTTTTACTCTGAAAGAACTTGTAAACATACATGTGCTAGCAGATACCAGTGGACTCCTTGTGGAAACTCTTGTCGTTCCAGGAATAAGCACAGATGCTTCGGATACTTTCCTTTTACAAGATGTAGTTATCTTGAGGAACAGAAAAAACCATGACCATAATACACAGGTTTAAGGATGACAACACAAGATTTTAGAAAATTTATTTCCAAGAGTTTTTTGACGCTTTCTATTATTGGAATGTCAATGGTTGTTGCTGCACGTATCAATGTAATGCGACTTTTATGCAATTCCCTTTTACTTGAATTATATACTACTTCAAACTGATGTTTTTAAACTGAGATCAGTGATGGTTGCTTTCTAAATTAATTCAATTAAGCACAGGCAAATCCTGTCCTTTGTTAGCAATTAAAAGTAAGCAAGATGATTCCCAGCAGTTTCTGCAAAGCCATCACATAAGCTATAAACCAGCAGAACCTCAAGCCCAGGTTTACTAGACTACTTACTGCTAGCAAGACATGCACTGTGTCTGTTGCACGAGGAAGACATGGTGACATTGCTTCATCTTTTCCCCCATCCCTAGCGTACCTGTAGTTAGTCCTAGTATAACCATTATACGTTTATAACTTTAGGGTGACTGTGGGGCAAAAGAAACACCAGGCTTAACGAACGGGGCTTCTCTCAGTTTAAACCTGAGAATCAGCCATGCATAGGAGCAGTCCCACGAAACTGTCATTCGAATAACCGGGATACAGGATTCACCTTGACAACCACATGGGTTTTTGTTCTCAGCAGTCTTTGTGAATGCCAAGCCTGTAGGACTTGTCTCTAATTACAACTATTACTATTGCTGATCATTAGTAAGTCTCCAGAGGCTATACTAGACTTGCGCAGATCGTAAGAGATCTAAGAATGTCTTAAAAACGTTTCTCTTTAAAGAGAATTCTCAGAACGTAATGGTCTAAAGAACGTTAACAACTACTTTTTGGTTTTGTCACATTGTTATAGCTTCAAAATACATGATAACGAGAAATTTATTTGAAAAGGGATTTATATAGCTTAGTGTCAAGTCACAAGAAAAACAATCAATCAAATCCTGTATTAATTATATTTGAATTGGAAAATAACAGGGGTTTTATATTAGAAAATATGATAAATATTTAAATTGCCTTCTAATGTACTCTTTTCTGTTTTGGTAATCCTACTGACCTTGGAGGAACCATCTCTGCATTTCTGTTGACTGTTACTTTTATTCAGAGTCCTCAAAGTTCCAGGAAGTTGCTGGGTTTCGTATTTACTGAGTTTCTCCTCTTCTTCAGATTTTTCTTCCAAACATGGTGACAACTGACTTTCTGGTACCAGAACCTACGTAATAGTTTGGATTTTTAAATTTTTTTTATACAATATTTAGATTTTATTATGTTTCATGTTTATACCAACACACACAGAGCAACTTCTTTACCTTAATACATTCCTCACTGTAGATTTTGATAAACTTCAGAGCTTATATACTTTTAGTTTGAAAAGCATCCAACCTAACTGTTATTTTCGCTTACAAGGATGGGTTACTAAATCACAATTCACATAGAACTTTCCCTGTGTATATTTGTCTGAAGTTTTCTATGATTTGGATATTAATATCATTCTCTCCCCAAATATACAATAGGTATGTACTAGAAATCACTTAACTGGTTTTAGAGTTATCTTTACTTACTGGCATTTTAAAAGTCCTTGTTTTTATGGTGAATGATCACAAATGAGCTCATAATCAGACTAAACATAAAAAACAAGAAAATAATCATCTCAGTATACTGAAGTAAAATACCTGTGATCCACTTTCATCAAAGACGACGTGTACAGTTGTTTTGGCCACTGATGCAGACTGCTTCTTACTAAAGCCCTGCAAAGTGAGTAACCATCTATGTAAAATATACACTTTGCTCATTTTTAAACAAGAAACAGAAAGAAGATACTTAAGTCGGACATCATAAGTGTCTGAAATCAGGTTACAGGGGAAAAGAGATTCTACCAGCTCATAGCAGAGTTTCTCAGCCAGACAGAGTTCAGGGCAAAGCAGTTTGTTACAATCAGTAAGGAGTAATCTTTGGTGCTAAAACTTTTTTCCTAAATGAGTAAATTCGTAAGAGTGGTAAGTGTACTGCGAAAGGGGATAGCTAATGAATCATTTCTGAAATATTTGTAAGCCTCCAGTTCTTGCATTTCTGGAAAATTACACATGCAAAACTTGACTTTAAGCTATGGTGATCCCTTTCCAGGCAGTTAAATTTTTGTTGCAATTAATTTTAAATCTTATTAGACATCTTTACGAAAGCTTAACATATTATGGGAGAAATGCTGTTCTGTAATGGTGATGTTAATCAGAAACTCTTGGTATAAACAGATACACACAGAATCACAGCTATAACATTTATATGGCAATGAGACATTTATTTTGAATCAATTAAAAACTATTTGAAAAGGTGTTTAAATCTTACCTTACATTTACTTAATCCATAAATCTTTCTGGTTACATCTTTGATTTCCAAGATAGAATCAAAATATAAAAAAAATTTCTCTCCTTCTTGACTACCCACATTCATTCGGCTTTTTAGAGCTATTGTTAATAGTTTCTTGGAATCTTTTTCTGGACAAAACCAAAATTTGAAGAGTAGTTTCATTACAATTTAACAACATTTCTTATATAATATTTGTAAATACACAAAACTTGCTTGTATTCTTCAGTTCAGCACTTAAGATGTACATTTTATTTAATTCACTCTAACCTACAATCTATTTTATTAGGAAAACAATTCAAGATTCAATCTTTTAGAAATACTTATTCTGTATATTAGCTTGTAGAACTGTCTTTGAAGGTTATTTACTACAGCTGCAAACAAATTATAGATATTTGCAAAACTATTCTAACTAGTTTAATAGAAATATTATTAAATGTCATTGTTTTGTCTTATTTGGCACTGAAATAACTACAAGAGATTTTTTAAAAATTGTTTTAATAAAATCGCACCTGCACACCTAAAATTCAAATGTCACCACAGTGCAACTCTACCCAATAAAAACGGTACCTATAATACTTTAAGTGGGATTTTTGCTTTGCTGAGAATTGAGTCAGTACTTTAGGATTAATCAATTTGAAAATCCAAGTTAGTGTGTAACAAAAGGTCACATTTTTGAGTGCCAATACCTTCAAGGCTGTACAGGTCTACCTCTTCTTCTGGTATAATGACTGTTTCCCACTGATGATCCTTATATGAAAAATACATATTTTAAAGATAGAAAGGCGTTATATTAGAGTTAAATGTAAGTGCAGTGATCAGAAAGTTATTCAGTGAGGACAAATTTTCAATTTTTTAAATCCTCTGTTACGAGGAGTGCCAATAAACACATGCTTCATTTATAACAGCGAACAGTGTTTCCAAAGAGCTTTGGTAGAGCCATTAATCTGAACAGTTTAGTCTCATCTACAAAAGTTATGGCTGCAATTTTGTAAATGGCTTCTTGTCCATGTGTGCACATGTTAAACTTTTTGCAAACAGTATTAGAAAGTCATTACTTTGAAACTGTTTGACCTAAGTATGTACATCAAATGTAGATTACTTTTTTCCCCCCTTCACACTATAGATGTAGGCATAACTTCCACGCCTTGATGAGGGGAAACAAATTTGATACACTTGAAAGAGCGTGTACCTACTGCCTCAGAACAATCTAGTATGACAGACAAAAATTAACTTACGGTATCATCTGCTGCCACATAGAAAGATATGCTTCTGCTACCAACATTGAAATCAATCCAAAATTCTTCAAGATTTTCATCCAATGGTATCTGTAGCTAAACCAAAAAAAATATGATAAAAGAGTAAGAGCTGAGAGCAATGCTTTATACCAGCTAACAGGCTTTGTGTTACAGTCTGACAAACTTCAAATACATCTGTATACTTCTGAAAAAAACAAGGTGCTGGAGAAGGTCCAGAGAAGGGCAATGAAGCTGGTGAAGGGTCTTGAAAACAAGTCTTAGGAGGAGCGGCTGAGTGACATGGGGTTGTTTAATCTGAAGAAAAGGAGGCTGACAGGAGACCTTATTGCTCTCTACAACTACCGGAAAGGAGGGTGTAGAGAGGAGGGCATTGGTCTCTGCTCACAAGTTACAACCGATAGGACAAGAGGAAATGGTGTCAAGTTGGGCCAGGGAAGGTTTAGGTTAGACATTAGGAAAAACTTCTACACTGAAAGGGTTATCAAGGACTGGAACAGACTACCCAAGGAAGTGGCTGCATCACCATCCTTAGATGTATTTAAGCGGTCTAGGTATATTGCTCAGGGACATGGTTTAGAGGTGGGCCTAGCAGAGTTAGATAATGGCTGGACTTGATGATCTTAAAGGTCTGTTCCAGCCATCATGATTCTACGATTCTTACTTGATCCTTATTTTTTCTTAACTAGAAGGCAAAGAAATTCTTCAGTGGCACAAATGAAACTCTGTGGATATATGATTAAGCCTGTAACTTACCTCATATTTATCAAGAGCTGCTGATAAACATGGATATGTAAAAACCCTGTAAAAAAAAGGATATTGTCAACTATCCTAAAATACTGCAACTAAATTTTGGGTATCTGAACACAGCAACTGGATTGTGTTTTCAGCACAAAACCTGTGTGCTTCAGAGGCTAAGAGATTACAGCAATCAAGAGAGTAGTCGCTTGACTGCACTTCTTCCCCAAAGGAGATAACATGAAATTTTATGTATCCTTACAATTAAAGCAGTGGTCTCAGACCTCTTGTCGCTATATTCATACTTCTAGCTTAGCTGCTGATATTTTAAGAATGGTATTCAAACTGAATAGACACCCGATATTAAGACAGACTAGACAATCTCTTTGCTGTCATGACATATAAAACTAACATGCAGAGCATGTGCTCATATAGATAAGAAAAAAGCTCATTTTTTCTTCCTTTTTGTGCCCTATTTCTGTAGCAGATACTCTCATTGATCATTATCTCAATGTAAATGTCCCAAATCAATAAATAAAGGAATATATACCAACAGATCACTAGCTATTGTTAGATAATATGTTTATTGAATAAATGAGCATCTCAGGATTTTGCAACAGAACTAAAGAGAATACAAAAACCAGTTCCTTATGAGCATTTATTAAATCAAGTGTAGCATATGCTTTATATTGTTTAAGAATCTTTTCAAATGAATGTTCTTTATTTAGTGAGCAGTTTCTTCAAGCTGTTATCTAATAATCTGAAACATTCGTTATGTTTGTCTTTTTGCCAAATATGGGAATTACATAAAATTAACATCTTGATAGAAAAGATATCAGCAACAATGTATCAAAAGATGGTATTATTCAATTTCTTTACTATTTAATATTTTAAAAATATCTTAATTCTGTGTGGTTCCTGGACTTTGTACCACAGAAATATTAGTCTTATTTGTATTTGTTTGTATTGTTTTGGTTCAGAGCTTCCCAAAACCAGTTTTTGGCATACAAATGTTACTCCTGATGAATGGCCATAAAATCCAAAAAAGAAAATAATATTAACTGTAAGAAATTCATTTTTACCTTCTTTTGTCTCCAAGCATGCCATTCACCTGGTTAAGAAATTTTCTGCAATCCTATTAAAACACAGAACTTTCTTAAAGAATTGTAAAGCAGAAGTTTACCTCCCTGGAAATATTTTTCATATGACTTACTGTTTCAAACTCAGAATCTTTAATTCCTTTAAATGCATTGGACACAAACTCCATGGAAAACCACTGGCATGCCAGTTCTCCTCTCTGTTTCTCTGATATCATTCTGCATAATGCTTCTGTAATGGCTACTTGCAGGTCATAGTCTACAGTACAAAACATTTCACAGGAATAGTAGTTTTAAAGATACTACTGATGCGAAAAAAATATTATTACGTAGGAAACTGGTATAAGCAGTGTTGAATGTTTCAAATGACATACCACATTATATCCAAATACATAACCCATAAAGGATATATAGATAAAGGACTAAGGGAATAAGTATGACTAAACAACTCACGTTTCAAAATGAAGTTTCAACCAAGCTTTCAGGGAATGTCAGAGGAACACCAGGCATAGAAGCAAGAGATAAGACGTTTTCAACTTTCACCTGTCTGAACTGGGAAATTGTCGGATACCAAAATGCTCCCTGAGAGATGTTAGAGTACTACCAAACATGGCTAGCAGTTCACTGTCCTCAAAGACTGACTTCCGTATGAGCTTCTGCTATTTTAAAACTTATATTCTAGACAAGAAAAGGACTGAAAATTTCAAAGAGTAGGCCTACACAACATACATCTGAAACGTTCCAGATTGCACACTGTTTTCATGCAGTATTTGTATTTTTCAGAGGACTGTAATTGCAACATTCTGCAGTGTCTAAATGTCTTCTCTGGATCTTTAGTTAGTCTGCATGTAATTTTTAAGAAGCTCAATACTAAATTGTTTATTAAGTCCCATGCTCACCTCCAGCATCCAAAATTCTCCTCCCCATGTCACTCCTGCCAAACAAAGTAACGTTTCAGCAAAATATAACAGCAACACAAGGCACAGACAAAAAGTTTATTTAATGACAAGCTTTCAATGTGTGAGACAAAACCCTGATTCCACTAAACCATTAGACTTCAAAGGGGTAAGTCTGTTACGCTAAGGATATACCTCTGAAAGTACTACTGGGGAAGTGAATCACCTGATATAATTTTTATTCTATTTGATGTTTGAAATACTGTAAAAAAAAATTCCCAATGTGAATACCTTGTCTTTCCAGTGACTAATTCAGTGTGCTTTATGCACATTCTTATAAATATGAGTTTAATTATTTTAAGACAGCTGGGATGAGAAGCCTAACCCAAATTGGGAAAGAAGTAAATGTCGGCTTATAATGGAGAATAACCCATGAGAACACCTGCCCCCAGCCACTACCCGTGGCAACACAACGGCAAATGCAAAGGCGAGTTAAACGGGGACCAATCCCCATGCATTACAAACAGCCTTAGTAAAAATTGCCTTCCCAGATATGCAAATGATGTAATGATATAAAAACTATACTGAAGATTATTTACATGACAAGCAACATTTCCTTTGTAGAAAATATCTTTTTCCTGGCATCTCGAGGCATATTGTCGAGCATTAAATTAAGTTTTCTTACGACCTAAGAAGAGTAGAAAAGAGAGTAAGATTAAATATAAAATAAGTTGATAAAGTTTGAGTTATTCTAATAACGTAACGTATTTCATACCACTGAAGAAAATAACATGCTTAAATAATTGCAAAACAAGAAAAGACAATGAGTTCTATATGACCATAAATGGTATTTATCTTAATATAACTACCTCAAATTCAGTAAATTACAGTAGCTTCAATGTGAACATCAGTTGTTAAAGAATTATGTTTCCTATTTGGAGGTTTAAATACAGAAAAAATACTTTCAAAACAAGAGTTCTGTCTGCAGTCAATTGCTGACCTAAAGTGTACCTTAAATTTGCATTAAAAAGTCTTTCCTTTGGGGACGTAGCCTCTACGGAAGACTTTTTTGTAACTATCCCTTTCTTTAGGGAGGAAAAAAACCTGACAATCTGAGCTTGCTAAAATCAATAGCAGAAATTTGCAGTATACAAGAAGGTATACAAATTTCCTGCAAGTATCTAAAGAATTTATCTTAATCCTATTTATAGCAGTAGTAAAAAAAGCATATTATTTCCTACACTTTTATACAGCTTTCTCACCAGGATCTTAATACCACTGTTTTGTAATTTACTGTCCAAAAGAAAAATTATAGGTCAGTAATCTGAAAAAACCAAACCACCAACACATAAACAACAAACATTCTCAGAGAAGCATTGTCATCCTTCTGATACTACAGCACTACAATATTCTCCTTTTTTTGTAGCATCTGTACAGTTAAATTACTGTCTTCACAAAGTCTGTTAAAACACTAACCAGAAAATTTTACTAATTCTTACATCAGCAATGAGGGTACATGTTCTCAGAACAAAGTTTTCCAGTATTTGCATTTTACCTAATGAACAGTAAAAAAATAAATTAAAAAGTTATCAAGAGTGTAATAGGGTGGTCATCAGCATTTGGAAGCAGATTCATTTTCATTTAGAAATAAAATATCTCTTCCTTTCTACACAGGACTATTGATATGTAAAAATAAAAATCTTAAGCTTCGTGGTTAAATGTAAGACAGAACAGTTGCTTCAATTTATAGTAAATGTGGCTCTTTATGTTTCTACTCCTGTGTATCGCTGCGTAAGTCCCCTGGGGACAAGATCATTATTTTTAAAATATAATCGGATCAACTGTAACTTAGCTCTCCGAGATACAATTCAGACCCTGGAATTTATCTTCCAGGGACAAGGAAACTAAACTTTCATTTTGATCGTGACTGCATTATGGTCTGTAGTGACTTTCTGCCTACTGAAAGGTAAGAGCAGGGTGAAATTCATGATAACATGGTTAATAAAGGACTACGGTGCTATGCTGAACTATGACAGTAGCTTAGAAACAACACTGCTCTTAAGAAAAACTCTGTTCAGTTGCCATCTCTGAGGAGACTATCCTGCTGTTTTATTACTGACATCAGCAAATTACAGGGAAATCTGTCAGTAGAGAAACCTCAAATTGAATAATCAAAGTTATAGTTGACATTCAAGCTTGTTTCACACGAATGAGAAATGTCCTTTATGCGCAGAACAGCCCTCTTCAGGATAAGCCCTTTTCTGTTACAGGTTATTAGCTGAAACATATAGATCTGGTGGTAGATTTACGTTAGATCAAGAAACTTTGTACCACCCTTATTATACGTGGTGTTCTCGGAACTACCTTGCCTCAAGATGGTTCCACAAGCAGGAAGAGTTTTTTTAACACCGATAACTTTAAAATGTCTCTTTCAGAACACTTTAACTAACATATCCAGCGTACACTTTGTTTAGGCTCACCTTCAGGTCTGCTATCACATATAGCCTACAGTCAAAAACAAAACAAAACACAGCATTTTGATACTGTAAATATTACAGCAAAAAAATCAGGTAACATGTACCTAAAACAAGTAATCAAAAAGCATTTAAGATTTTAAAATTATTTCATCTTTAATGAAAAATATAAGAGACTTCTTCTAATACCAAGTGTGGTTTCCCAAAATTATATGTCGGTTACATTTATGGAAATTATTTCCCCAAAGTCGAAAATTTTATGAACAGAAGAAAACTCTCAGATCTCAAACTTGGGATGCTGGGTAATTTATATAATCAAAATTAGACCAAGATTAAATATTTTTGTTCATTGAACATTTACATTGTTCAGGTTTTTTTTTATTTTATTTTATTTCATGATGCTAATCGTCAGCAGAAAATGAGTATGAATACAGGCAAACTATCCAAAAAGACTTACAATCTATTTCAGAAATGATTGTAACATTAACTTTAGAAGGATATTTAAGGAAACACATTTGAAAGTCATTTTCTTGCTAAACTATTTTGACAAATACACAGAATGTATTTTATTATCAATATATTTTTACCAGTAACATGCTGAAGAAATCTTCGGCCAGACTTGTGAGCATTTCATTCTTTTCATTCCCTCTGAGGATCAAAATTCCTTTTACCTTTTCAAACCAATTAACCATGTAAAGGGAAAATAAATCTATTTTAATAGCATGAAAAAGGACAATAGTTTGTACTATACTTAAGTATAATTACACAAACTATATAAAGATTAAAACAACAGCAACAATGTTACCAGTCTGCTGAGGGTACTTCAGCCTCAGACTGAAAGTTTTTAACTCACACTAAACAAATGTAGGTGATACCAAACTAATCTAAGTGATTTCTGTAGCTGACTTTCTAGCCCAAAAACTAGAGAGCTACTTTTACAATTCCCATCACAGATAAGAGAGCTGAAAATCGCTGCATGAAGCGTGGTTGTAGGTGTGAATATAAGCATGAAGCTATCACCACATTTCTTTTTTTTTTTTTTTAAAGCAGTTGAGAAGGAAATTGAACTCATCTGACATTGCTGTTAATTTCCTTTAAAAGTAGCCACTTGTTAAAAAACATTTAATTCTAAATAATGTTTGTTGCAAAGTTGTAAGAAATTCTTAATTCAGAAACAATCAAGGACTAAATTGAATACTAAGCATTACTTAGGCATGCTTTTTTTTTTTTCCTCTCCTTTTTTTAGAAGTTAACATATGATTTATGGTTATACTTATCCTCCCAATAAGACCGTATTTTATCATTGCTGGGAGCCCATCTTCTCCTGCTATGCTGATTTTTTTCCCACATTTCTGGATAGAATTTAGCAAAGTGGAAATGCTTTTGACTTCCTGTTTGTCAAGTTCCTGAAATCAAAATTATAACATAAGCTTTAGTGTACAGTTCTAGAAGCACCTGTACTTAGTTAACCAGATGACATTTTGTTCTCAAGAGCCACCTTAATTGCAGCTTGAAGTAGAGATTTCATGCTTAAATTTTATTTCAGTTTTTCAAATCAACTGCTGGTATAAACCAAGCCAAATGAAAAAAACTTTTTTTGGACTATTACAATGACAGTATTGATGATTCTGATGTAACAATTACATTACCCGACACAGAAGGTTGTCTAATTTGTTGACAAACTGTTTGCTGCATTTGTGAGAGACATTTTCACAGTCTTCTGTTGCCAGGAATTGTTCTAATAATTGGAAATCTTTTTTTCTTGTAGCTTCATCAATTAACTTTTCAAACTGTCAACAATAAAAGAAAACAGCAACTGTATTACTGTACGCTTAACACCAATGCTGATTTCACAAGATTGAACATAGGTTTTACGCAATCACCTGTGGCATTCTAAGCAAATATTCTGAATCATAAATCACTAAATGTAAAACCTAAAGTACAATACATCAATCATGCAAAGACTTATTCACTGAGTTTTAAATTATTTGCCAGTTTTCCTTCACTGAATGTTTCTTCGTTCCCCATATTACAAATAAATGCTAGGTGCTCATTGTGTTAATACCCCTTCCTTAGTACCTTTAATATTTTGCATTTCTAAGTTATCTATTGGTGACTTTAAAAGATATTAATACATTTGATGACTACTGCCTTCCTCAACTATTTTGCCACTCTATTCTTGCTAGATCAATTATAACCAGATTTCAACATATTGGTCTGAAGTATCTTCCCAACTGATTCATGTATGTCAAATGCATACGATTTATTTTCATCGATAACAATTTCCAGTTCCTCCTGCTTTCTACCCAGCTACTTAGCGCTAACCTACGTCAACGGAAAACTTTTTCGTACCGCATTCTTTGCCACACTGCCAATTTTACTTGTAATTAAATACCAGAAGCAGTGCTTTAAGCTGGTAATTAAAACGATCAATTGTCATATTCTAGTCTATAAGCACATACCTGCATCTCAATCCTGGCTGCCATTTTTGCAAATCATCTATTCAGCTGTGTAAAAAGGGAATATTCATCACTTCACCAAACACAATTCACTGACATAGACCTCCAATAGGTTTAGCAAACACATCAGTAATCAGTCAAAACACATTAAGAGTTCAAAAATTTGTCAGTAGTATAAATGCTACTCAAGAAATTAATCTAAATGGGCACGTAGGGGAACATCCTTACATGGATAAAAATTGCTTAAAATAAGAGTGGAAGGAAGGAGCAACTTTGCAACGGAGGGGCAGAGGGTCCTGTAGTGGACTGTCAATATTTGTCCCAGAGAAGAGCATGAAGATGGCCAATGCTACTGTCAACACCAGGTTACTCAGAAAAGGCCAGCTGACAGAACTACAGAAGGGCCTCGTTACAAAATGGCAGGCCAAATCATTTAAGAAAAATGTGATAAATGTGTGAAGGGAGAAAGCCTCCTTCATTATACATACAGTGATGGGCTCAGAGATGACTACTACCACCAAAAAGCAAGAACTCCAGATCGAGTTTTCCGAAAACATTGTCTTAATATCCAAGAGCAGACAAAAGTATTTTCTTTGCTTTGAGAGTTAACATGTAAGAAACCCCCACAAACCTTTTCATGCTTTGTATAAATTAATCTACATCGACCAATCTACAACATGCAGTTTTGGTTTCCTCATCCCAGAAATTACATAGAATTGGGCACAGGGAAATAGCCATTAAAAATAGGGAATGAGTTCTGTAGAACCAGCAACACACACTAGTCATTTCTGTGCTCCTAAATAATAAGTAACAAATACGAGGGGTGGGGTGCGCGTTATTATTTTTGCCAATACAAGACTGGAACAGCCTACATTAAAGCCTTTGCCATCACCTCCCAGATCTCGTCTCCTGCCTAGTCAGAAAAGCCAGAGAAGAAAATATAAACCCCTTTCAGGTGCCTCCTTCTCGACGAGGGAGTGAGACCTCAGCCCTCGAAACACACGTAGTCGCTGGCATCTCCCCCAAAAGCTCTGTTACTGAGGGGAACGCGCCCCGTAGCGCCCCCCGCCCCCTGGGCCGCGGGGCAGCAGAGAACGCCCCACAGCCCGGCGCCCCTCACCTCACCGCCAGGGCAGAAAAAAAGCGCCGCTTCCCGCCGGCCAATCACCCCC